TCCATGTTTAGTGAGAGACCCTGTCTTAAAGCATAAGGTGGAGAGTAGATTAGGAAGACACTCTGTCAGCCTCTAGGCTCCATATGCACATACAGACATGCATTGAACACACACACACACACACACACACACACACACACACACCATGCACGCACATAAACATACTTATAAAAGTAATGTAGAAAAATACTGATATTTGCTAATAGATAGGTGAGCTTATGCTCTCCCTTTTTGTTAATACTTGCCTAAAATAAATCCATACTTAGACAGCAATAAAATTCCAACATTGACATATTCAATTTTCTGACTGAGCCTTAAGTGATTCTTTCACAAGAGTAATTAGTAAAAAATATTAGGATCCTCAAAAACTAAAAACAGACCTATCATGTGACCCAGCTCCAACACTCCTGGATATTTATTTAGTCAAAGCTTTCCAGCTCAACACATCACAGATGCTTGCATATACATCAGTGTTCACTGAAACACTTTTCAAAGAAATAAGTTAGGGACTCTACATATGTGTTTATCGAGAGATAAATGGATAAAGGAACTATATGAACAAAGTCATGTCAGTTTCAGACATGGGTGGAACTGGAAATGGCCATATTACTGAGTTAAGTCACAACGAATACCATATTTTCTTTTATTTTGAGTCCAAAGGCTTTATGCATATGTATAAAATCCATATACATATGATATGAAAGTAGAAACAAAACTGTCTATGAGAGCACAGGGGAAAATATAAGGGGTAAGGAAGGAGAGTGTAGTGGAGTATGGGGGTGTGCCCAAAGTATATGATGCACATGCATGGAAATGGTCTTATTTAACCCAGCATAACTAAACTGTGCCATATCACTTCTTATAAAGCTTAAAGTTTGTTTAGGTTGGGCCACAATGACTAATGATCTTGATGTGTGTTTAATGACAGACTTCATTGGTTTATTTATACTAAGAGTAGTTCTTGGAAAGGCCACTAGAAGGCTTTCATTATAAATCTTTCCTTGGAACACACCCTAGATATTCACATTTTCTTCAATTTTTGTTCTTGGCAAACTTGAATAGATCTGTTTAATCATTACTTTCTACATAAGATTGATGACTGCTGATACATAGGTACCCCAGATGCCTTCAATGACTAAATCTCTAACCTTTATAGAATAAGAAGGATTTACATGTTGAGTAAGGAATTTTTGTATTTCATTAGAAATGCACAACAGGCTTCCAAAATGTCCCCAAGTAAATTCCTAATCACATTTCCACAGAGGTTTCTCTATAGCCTTACTCATTTGACACACGACTTCCCATTTAGGAAACTGGGCCTAATCTGCAGAACACCCTACATAAAATTTACCAATAAGGGGGGACTGTGTGATTCATCTTAGCTAGAAGAGTCAAAACATTCCAGAGAAAGGGAAACATTTCATGTGCATGCAGTTTCCTATCTGGTCCTCTTTGATCACGTAGATGTTCGATGACATCACTATTCTAACCAATTTGCTATATTCAATTATGTGTATTTAGCATGTTCTCAACTCACAACTCAACTCAATTTTCATGAGATGATCTCCTCCAAGTCATGTTTAACTGAGCTCTGCTCTCATTCTTATCCTTTCAATTTGTTTTCTTTATAGCAGCCAGAATGAGTTCCAGAAGGACATGAATAAGTCTGGTGGTGGTAGTACATTCCTTTAATCCCAGCACTAAGGAGGAAGAGGCTGATAGATCTCTAAGTTCAAGGCCAGACTGGTCTACAGAGTGAGTTCCAGGGCAGGCAGAGCTACACAGAGAAACCCTGTCTAAGAAACAACAATAACAACAAGTGGATCTTATTATATCTAGCCCATGCTTAAAATTTGTACAATATTTCCCCCTGCATTTACATAATTCTAAACTTTTAAACTCTTAAATATTACTAAAACAGCAAATTATGATATGACTCTTACTTACCTTAGCATGCCACTCTTTGTCCTACTATGTGACTACTAGACAATATGAAAATCTTTCCTATCATTGGGCTGCCATGCTTTTATTTGTACCTGGAATGATCTCCTATATTGATGTCTGGTTATTTTAGTTTGTAATTCAAGAGTTAGTTTGGGTAACTTTTGTCTCCTTTGGCATATTGTTTATTCTGTTTTTCCCATTATCTTATTTTCATTCTTAGTTTTCTCAGTTTATATTATAGAAGCTTGCCTCACCTGACTATAATTTTCTAGAGAGCAAAAGGTACCTCTTCTCTTTATGAATCCCTGTCTAGCTGGAAATATCACAGGAAATATTTAGTAAGTATGTTTTGAATAATTGAAGGGCCATGTTATTGTATACAAGATAGCCATATGTTAAATACACTTAGTTGAATACAACTAACTGGCTAGGATATTGATGCTTGACATCAGACAACATCTGGTCGTCAAAGAGAACCAGATAGGATGATGGAATGTTTCTAGTTCTCTTGGGTATCTGACTCTTCTGGATAAGATAAATCACATAGCTACCCCAAATCCCCAGTAAATTAATGGCTCAAGCTCTATCCTAGAACCGATGTCATTTTGTCTTGAAAATATCATTAAATAGGTTGAATTTAGAGTCATCTTTTCTTTTAGAACTTTTGAGGAAAGAAACTCATTTATCTTTAACCTTCATATTAGATTAGAGTTTCCATGATACAAACTAATCACAGTGGGAACGTTTTTCAGGAATACTGTAATTCTAAAATTAGGACTTATAACATACTAAAGTGAAGAAGGCAGTATTTCTTCAGATTTAGCATAGAGCCTAATTACTTGTTACTCAAATTCTATATTTCCTGAGATTGAGGCACTGGGAGAGGCATCTGGAATCCAAACAATGCCTGGAACACTTTCCTTCTTTGTTAATCAATAGGCTTTGAATAGAAAAACAAGTCCCTATCAGACCTACACAAAAAGATCCCAGTACCAAAAGTATCACTGACTCAGCATACTCCCCAGCAGGCTCCATACAGCCAGCTTTCTGGACAGAAAGTTGTCCCAAGGATTCTTTGACCCAGGAGACCATCTCTGTATATTACATATGTTCATTAGGTTACTGCCCACCTACCAGGTTAATTAGCCTTCACTGCTTATTTCCCTCCTCCATGTCACAAGGCATTCTTGCCCCATGACAGGCTCAAAGAAGAAAGTGGTTCAGTAGGAAGTAAAGGAGCTGGAGGGCACCTAATGTCAGAATAATGATTCAACAGATGTGTTCCTGGTAACATTAAGTAGTGCAGGTCATCAGCTCCCTGCAACCTTTAAGGGTTTTGCTGAGCAGCTGGAGGTCATCCTGTGACTCAGAGCAGGAAGCCAGTAAAAGAATAGCAATATTTTCCTGAGGGTTTAAATTAGCCTTTGCTTAGAGACATGATGAATAATTGCTATTAGATGGCTTGTATAAATAGACACATATTATTTATAGATACAATATATATTTTAACAGAAAAAACTATGTTCCATTCATTTGACTATAAAAGACAAACTTCCAGTGTGATTTAATAAATGGATAGGGTAGACTTTTATTCATACTTGAATCCTAATTCACCTGCACTTAAGCCACGAGGAATCACTAAGCTATTTTCATTACATCACTAAAAACCTGCTACCATATTTAGTAAAACAAAAGAAAATACTTCAAATACATGCATGCACAGCTAGTATTTCCTGAGTTTGTACCAAGATTTATGCCATATATGTGAACTGTTTCAGTGAATCATCACCAAGAACAAGCCTTGCTTTTACTTGTGTTCTGCAGCTAAGAAAATGAAGGCCAAGGTAGTGAAACATTTCTATCCAAAGTCTAACAACCAGTGAAGGGCAGAGCTAGGGTTAAAATTACATGCTCTGATCTCTAGTCTATGCTGCTCTCTATGTACAAGCTCTTTAAAAATGTTTCATTTCTCTTTGTACATAGATTTAATGAAGGTAAATGGCTGAACAAGGCTTTTAATGAGCCTGGTTCTTGTGTCCAAGATGGCAAATACCACTTAATTCTGTTCTCTAGAGAAGGTGACTTATATTTTAATTTTAATATAAATGCTTATATTTTAATCACATATTTGGCATTATACAGTAAATAGGTTATGAAGAAAAAGGAAATACTTTATGAAGAGTCTAATGATTATCCAGTCATAATATAAAATATTTAATTATGTTAAGCTAATTATTAAAATTTTCTAAAGCATCTGAAATACTATTTGAGTAGTGTTAATGTCAGTGTTATAAATGAAATTCATATAATGATTCAATTTCACTGTTTACCCAGCTCCTTGGAGCAAGCACAAGAGCACCTAGACATCTGTGAACATTAAAAAACAAGCTTAACTTATTTTGTCTGTATTGGCTACAACACATAATACAAAATCAAAAGGAATCACATTGTGAAATACAATTTAGTATCAGTAAAGATTGTTATGTTTTAAGATTTAAGTTTTTATGTGTATGTTTTATGTGAGTGAATGGCATATGTGTGTGGGTTTTCATGGAAGCCAGATGAAGGTGTGACCCCTTGTAGCTGGAGATACATATGGTTGTGAGCCATCTGACATGGGTGCTGGGAACTGAACTCATTTCCTCTATAAGAACAGCAAGCTCCCCTAACTATTTGGCTATCCCTAGTAAAGATTACTTTTGTTATCTTTTGTTATTTATATTAGTATCTTGTTATATGAAAGAATTTACATACCATCTGAAATGTTAGAATGTATTAAACATACTGGCCAAGTTATAATGAGCATATCAGCTAAAAATCATAGAAAATATTAAATGGTGGTTTCCTCCAAATATACACTCTGCTTGTGTGAGTTTGTACATAGAGTTCTGTTTTTTCAAACCATCTGTAAAAACCATTATCATGGAGTGTGAAGTCTACTTCTAGGCAATGAAAGTCAGAGAATTAACAGTCATTGTAGGTAGGTTATATAGTAAACTTTAGACATATATTTTTGACATTTGTGCCTCAGTATGAGTCTTTTATAGTTTTATTACCTTTCGGCCCTTTGAAAAGCTTGATTTCCACGACAGTCTCCAAAATGGGTCGTCTTCTACGTACATACAGCCGCACAATAGAGCCTGCTTCTTTGAGGGCCTCCACTGCTTTACTGTGGGAAACCTCCGACACATCAACCTCGTTCACCCGCAAGATACAATCATTGACCCTGCAAAGGAGGAAGAGGCAAGGTTCAGCAGGATCTAGGGACCTGGAGTGAAGAATTCATCATCACTAACCTTGACCAGGGTCAAGAGTGTGAGAGATTTCAAAATGTTCAAATAAGGAAGTACAAGAAATCAAGTCAAGATCAAACTCCTTGACTGCCTAGGATTTCACACAATGATCACAAGGCTAGCCAGTTTCCATCTTAAACTCTACTATAGTAATGGGACTTGAATTGAGTGGCATATGGCATAGTTAGAAGGATATGCATTTTAAAATATCTGTCAATGACATCATTATTTTTACTGTCTTAAATGCTTAGAATGAAAGTTATGTTTAAAGGCTTCTCAGAAGTTATTATGGCAGACTATATAGACACAACAGATGTAATTTTACATTTAACTTTGCAAAATTCTTAACTCACTAGATATAAAAGTGTTATGCAATAATTGCAGAAACTCTCAAAAATATAACTATGTAGGAAGAAGAAAAAACATATAAAACAGTCACCTCAATGTGTTTAGCTTGTTGAATTATCTTTAAATATCTTTTCCCTGGAATTGATCTCACAATATTATAAATATTGGAGCTTAGACTTAATGAAGCTTGACGAGATCCTCAGATAATCCTGTCTAAGACATTTACTTTAAAAATTAAGAATTATGTAATGCTTTAATTGCTTCTATATTCACACAGGAAGGCATAATTTGATTTCCTTTCCTGTTACTTTATTTTTATGATAATGATCAATGATAACATGATTAATGGCTAAGAGAATGGGTTTCTGGCTAGAAAGATTTCTTCACTGTACCCATCCATTTTAATAATTTCTATCTCAGGTTACTTTGTTGCTCCAAGTCAAAAGTGAGCAACTGTTCTTACTTCATCCCTTCTTCCCTCGTCACTATACATTCAGATAAATTTACAGAGCAAATCCAGTGGCTATCAAAGTTTGTTTATCTTCCCTACTAGCTCTTGGCTGAAGTCAGCACCACCTCTTCTCTAGATAAATTCCACAACCTCCTACCTAACATTCTTGGGTCCTCTTTGTTAACTTTGAAGTGATCACCAAATAGTGAATTTTTTGGTACCTTATCCAACTGCCATTCCCTACTTCTCCGTTCCAATGTCTGGTTTTGTTCAAGAGATATATTATTTAGCAAATATTTGTTGAATATGAAAAAAGTAACAATTCAAATTCAATTGTTGGGTTTCCATCTTCTAAGTTTATATTTATAGGCAATTTTCTCACTCTTTGTGGTGATATCTTGTTTATACTCTAACAAATAAAGCTGAATATCAAAGGGCAGAGCTAGCCACTAGGTGAACCATAGAGGTCAGAAGTCTCTTCAGATAGACAGGAAGTGAGATGGCTGGTGGAGAGAGGAATTGAGGCAGGAGGATAAAGGAACAAGGTTTCTTTTCAGTCTGAGGATTTCATAGAGGTTAGAGCTCTAGTGGCTGGCCGGCTCCTATGCTTCTCTGATCTTTCAGCTTTCATCCTTAATATCTGACTCCAGGCTTTTATTATTAAGACCTATTAGAACTCATGTTACAAATCTCTCTAAACCTCCACATTCTTTTCTTTAATAATAGTATAATCTACTATGAATGTTTTAGGGAAAAATAAAGTAGACAATATACATATAAGCCTTTCCATAGATCCTAGCATATAATAAACTCCTAATAAATGTATTGGCAGTGCATATGTATTGATGTATAATATTCCTAACGATGGATTTTTTTACTGCTTTGTGGAAGAAGACTGATGCCCATTGTAGAAATTAATATAATGTGTAACAATATAAGCAGTTAAGCCCTTATATTGGCAGATTGGGCAGACACCAGATTTTTTCCATAGTCTATGTATCTATCTATCCTATCTATCTATCTATCTATCTATCTATCTATCTATCTATCTATCTATCTATCTATCTAATGTATCTTTCCCATAATGATGATCATCTATCTTCTATCTACTTATGTACCAACCACCTTTATATTTGTATTTATTATTTTTGCAGCACTGGGTGGGTAAGCCTAGCACTTCATGCATACTTGGCAAGTACTCTAGTACTGAGATATACCTACCCTTCAAGTCTTCTTACTAATGTGTGTGTGTGTGTGTGTGTGTGTGTGTGTGTGTGTGTGTCTGTGTGTGTCTGTGTCTGTGTCTGTGTCTGTGTGTATATCTAATGTGCTGCAACACTTTATGTATATTATGTGTATCAATTCAAAGTACAAGTTTATCACGAACATATTATATAAAAGCATGGGGAGGATTTTAAGTGTATTTTTCCCATAATTCTTTTATGTCTGTTTAAGAAGGTATTATTGCAACCCTTGCCTTCATGAGAGCATGCAGCAGCCTTAAAATCCGGAAATGAAAATTTTCTCTAAGATATAGTGATGTTATTTCATCAGAACAGATGGAATGGCTTTAATAGGTTTACACATGCATTTCCTCCCTAACAAAACAAAGCAAAAAAAAAATCCAGAAAACTACCAATTAAAATACTTTTGAGAATGTAGGCATGCATGAGGGATGCCAGCTACCCTGGAGCAGCTGGTCCTTTCAGAGTGGATAATTTTGCCATCTCATGTTAATGAAAAAGCATAGTTTACCATTACCTCATGTTCAGAATACCAAGCATATCTTGACCACTATTTTTCATAGATGGGAGCTGTAGAAAAAAATGTGACATCTATTCAACTCTACTAATTATTTCTTTTTGTGTACAGTGAAATCTTTAATTATCAGTTACAAGTATAATCAAAACAGCCTAACTCACGTGGTTGTTCCTGAATACACAGGTGAAGTAGGCAGCTTTAAAATAGTGCATAGAGCACAAGATTAACAAAGAGAGGGTCTGCATAGTAAGACACCCATCTCTTTGGATTTCATAGTCACATAAGAAAAGAGGAAGCATAGCCATGGTTGGGGAGAGGAGTCAGCAGACAGTTAACAGGTGTAGATAAATGTAACCCTGGAGGTATGAATGTTATTGATATAGGTAATACATGCTCAGGGTGATTTGCTTAAAGTGAATATGGTAGAAATGTAAAATTTTCATTAGGGCATCAACTGTGTGCTCTATTAGTCTGGTCCCTTCTCTCATTTTTTTCACTTCAGTTCATGAAATATTGATCTTCATTTTATAAATAGAGGGGGACCAATGGTAAGGTCACTCACTCTTGGTAAGGACAGGGACATGATTTTCAACTGTTTTTACCCTTCTCTATGCTAATATAAAGAATTTAGAATTGTTCGCTTTACCTTGAAATAAAAAAAAAAAAGATGATGACTCTATGTTGAAATTCTTAAAAGCAGAGAATGTCAAGCTAGAGAACTAGGGCACTCAACTCCCCTTCCTCCCAGTTGCTTGAAATAGAATCTGGCCAGAGGCCACAACTATTTAAAATGAATTTGTTTACTCTAACTGCAGATAACCTTTGTGAGTAAAGTCACCCTTCATTTTAAGGCACCTCAATGTATCATTAACTTCAAGCTCAAGAAATGCATCATCCCAGAAGAAAGTCCATCCTCTATGATAACTCTGAGCCATTGTCTAAGAAATCCATTTGCATACAGACTTCCTCTTTACTGTACTGCTGTAACTGACACTTTCACTCAGTGTTTGTTGTTTCAGATACAAGTCTCTAGTTTTGTCTGCAGCAATTTCATCTTTTGGAATAGAATTGGCCACCCAGTTTAAAAAAAAATGATTTCAATAGTTCCCTGGAATTTTCTTTTGCATTCTGATGTATTTCCTTCAATTAAATATATTAAGAACCAAAGTCCATTTAATCACTAACATCTGTCAACAGAAACACATATAACTTTTTTATTTATCAAGGAAATAACCTCTCACATGATGAGGTATCATTCACAACTAATGTGGAAGATATTACTGGTATTTTTCCTACATGTGTGTCTGTGTGAGTATGCCAGATCCCCTGGAACTGGTGTTACAGGCTTTTGTTTGTTTTGGATTTTTTGAGACAGGGTAGCTTTGTGGATCAGGCTGGCCTCACAGAGATCTGCCTGGAAGGCATGCACCATTACTGCCCAGGGTTACAAACAGTTTTTAGTGGCCATATTTGTACTGGGTTCTCTGTAAGAGTAGATAATGCACTTAACTGCTAAGCCATCTCTCCAGGCCCAAGAATGTATTTTAAAATAACATGTAAAATAAACTTTCCCTCCATCGGTATCAACATATGATTTATTGTTAAAATAAAATGTTTTATGATTTTACATACATTAAGGATCTTCATTTATTTAATATGCTTCCCAAATCATAATACACATTAAAAGTTGCAAATATTGCTCTTTACTATGTAAAAACTGGGCTGAAGAGATGGCTCAGCCATTAAAGGCTAGGCTCACAACCAAAAATTACTATGTAAAGGATGATGTGGGAACTTTGGGGAGCCCTGGGGAGTGGAAGGGGGATGGGGTGGGGGTAGGTGGGTGGTTGAGGGAGAGGGGAGGGAGAGGGAGAGGGAAAAGGGATTGACATGTGAAGCAAGCTTGTTCCTAATTTGAACTAATAAAATAAATAAATAAATAAAAATTACTATGTAAAAAATGCTAGAAGAAAAGAAAATGACAAAGTTGTAATTCAATTTCTTCTTAAGTAAGGAGATTATTAATGTTTTAAAACATCTTTTATGTTCCTACCACATCTATAATGGGCATATAGTGTTTCAGATAAGCTAAGAACAAAGTATGTGTTCTTTTTCCATATTTATATCTGAGGACTCCTCTCAAAACTAAAATTTAGGAGCTGTTTCTTTAAAGAATTCATTCAACAACTCAAAGCTGAAATTTCTACATCAGAAAATGGGAAGTCTTCAGTATGGATGAAGTAAGAAAATGCAAGGGAGATAATTAACATAGTGCCAAATAAAAGGTAAACATCAAGAAATATTAGTTACTATTGTTATGAAAAAGAATGAGAAACATTTATATAAGAGAACATATTAAGAAAACATAATAGA